CATGGCTTGAATCCTTTCGAAAGCGTAGATACTAGGGATTGAAGCAATGCCGTGCACAATCAAAGTAGGCTAAGCTGTCAAACCATGGCAACCTCCACTTAATCGCAATCCAAAGTGTGTGTGAGAGAGACCAATCACCCCTCAGCTAAATTGTAAAATGGATTATTCGTGGCCGTTTATAGATCTTTCATGTCTCAGTTGCTAAGATCTTGAGCATGTTTTGCCACAAGCCGGAAAATCAGTGAAAACAGGACAAGCGTGAGTCTGTGTCACAAGTGAGTTTAAAAATAGGATTGATTTAAAATACGAATATATTTGGGATTTTCGGTATGACTTCTCGCCAGAATTTGATCTTTGATTTTACAACCTTCTTTATCGTGATTGTTAAAACGAGTCATTGAATTTTTAAGCATTAAGCAAACCCAGTCTCCCTCCTCCATTGATTTTACTTTTCAGAAGCCAATTGGAAAGGTTGCAAATGGCTATCACAACTGATAACTTGGATTGTGTGAATGTGGGACACTGCAGTGATCATAAGTGCAAGTACTGGTTGTAAGTCTGGGTGCTGTTGTAACATCTAAATTAATGGTTGTAAGTCAAGGACCAGTGGTGAAATTCAGCCGGCTCTATCCGGATCGCGTGAACTGGTAGCGCCGGTGGCGGGAGGCTCCGCCCACCCACTCGGACGTCATCACATCCCGTTTTTGACCCTCTGCGCATGCGCAGAAGTCTCTGCCCATGCATGGAGGAGGTGTGAATGCTCAAATTTGTGAACTGGTAGCGAAGGTAAGCAAATATCACCCCTGGTCAAAGACTATCTGTATATATTTTAATACAGCTATCATGTTAAGTTATACTTTGTTTTAACTACTCTTCATTGAATAGGCTAAAGTGCCTGCATCCTATGGCGATCTAAAGTCAAAAAAGCAACCTTATGGCTTAGTGTGACGTATGAAGCCAGACAGTGTCTCTTAATTTGGTACTTTCTATGGAACCATAAGGATGGAAAACGTATAGATCTCTTATTGATTGATTGATTGATTGATTGATTGATTGATTGATTGATTGATTGGTTTGATTTATATGCCACCCTTCTCCGGAGACTCAGGGCGGTTTACAATGCATTAAGCAATAGCCTTCATACTTTTGTATATTTTATACAAAGTCAGCTTATTGCCCCCACAATCCGGGTCCTCATTTTACCTACCTCGGAAGGATGGAAAGCTGAGTCAACCTTGAGCCTGGTAGGATTTGAACTTGCAGTAATTGTAGGCAGCTGGCAGCTAAGTGCTACTTACATTAAAATTTTAATGTAAATTTTAATGTAAATTTTAATTTGTTCTTAGCCTGGGATTTTAAATTTGTCTTGGGCTAAATTGATTTAATTCGATTTTACTTCTGCTCTTAAATTTTTGTACTCTATGTGTTTTATCTTGTGCCTGTTCACCGCCCTGAGTCCTTCGGGAGTAGGGCGGTATATAAATCAAATCAAATCAAATCAATAAAATAAAAAACAGCACTTTAGTCTGCTGCGCCACCAAGGCTCCAGCCCTCCAACCAATGATGAAAGCTGCTTAGAGATTTAGATAATCAATATCCTGACTCTAATTTGAAAGTAGTATTCAATAAGGTCTTAAGAATGTTGTAGTGACATTTCATCAGTTTTCTGATATCACATTAGACTCTTTTACTGCTGTCGTATGAATAATGTAATTGGAAAAATATAAGATCTAAGACATATTTTTTAAAAATTGCATGGATGCATTATATTATCAGGGACTAGTTAGATAAATTCTACTGCTGCCCAGTTGAAAGAAACCACCCATTGCTTAAAATTATATATGGAACTGTGCAAATTGTAAGCTTCATTACACATACCTGTTCTTTGGTTTGGCTGCTATGTATCTGCCAAAGGTTTTATTCAGCTGAGTATTTCAGACACCTAAAGGCACATATTGCCCTCATTTTTAAAGAAGTACATTTTGCATGAAAAATAGTTTTTCTAGATTTTTTTATTTTTCAGGAGAAATTTTTTAAAACGTTCCTTTGGTTTGCAAAAGATAACGGCCCTTACTTTTTTTTTATAAATTCTCAGTTTTAAAAAATTAATCTGAATTCTAATAACATTTTTAAAAATACAATAGAAACACAATAGACAATATAGATATAATTTTGTTGCAAAGGGTCGTATCTGAACAGGCGTTCTGATCAGCGGGTTGTTTTTTTTTTTAATGGGCAAAAACAAAATTAGCTCTATTGGTCTGCAAGAAAAAAAAAATCAACATCTATAGTAGAACAATAAATTGAAAGTCCCTAAGGATTGAGGCAGCTGTAAAATTTAATGAAGAAAACAAAGGAGTTGCTAAGTTACAGTGTTTTATTCTTGCGTTCTTCTGAATAATAATCCTTCATTAGGGAATACCCTTAAAAATAGTAGGTAGTTTAAAAATAAATGTAAACTTTAATGTAACCCTATTTGAGATTTTTATCCATTTTATTTATTAGCTTGATATATACCAACTTTCCAGGGGAGGGTTTCAAAACCGGTTGCTACCAGTTCGTGAGCATGCGCAGAAGCGTCCGAGCGGGTGGGTGGCGCCTCCTGCCGCCACCGCCGCTACCGATTCGCCCGATCCGGGACGAACCGGTAGCAATCCACCACAGCATCTTTCCTTTGGGAGTTCAAGGTGGCATCTCCCTTCTCTTAATTTGTTTCCCACAAGTACAACTCGGTAGGGTAGGTTGGGCTAAGAGCAAATAGCAAATCTCAGTACAGGTAGTCCCCGAGTTACGACCACAGTTGAGCCCAAAATTTATGTTGCTAAGTGGACGATTTGTTAAGTGAGTTTGTCCCATTTTTACGACTTTTCTTTCCACATTTGTTAAGTGAATCACTGCAGGTATTAAATTAGTAATGTTGTTAAGTGAATCTTATTTCCCCATTGACTTTGCTTGTCAGAAGGTCACAAGAGGTGATCATGTGATTCCGGGATACTGCAACCGTCATAAATGTGAATCAGTTGTCAAGCATCCAAATGTAAATCACATGACCATGGGGGTGCTGCAACAGCCATAAGTGTGCAAAATGGTCATAAATCACTTTCTTCAGTGCCATTGTAACTTCAAACGGTCACTAAGTAAACTGTTGTAAGTCTAGGGCTAACTGTACCTTCGTAAAATGAGTGCTAAAAATGAATGGAGAAATTTTGTGATGTGCAAATACTAGTAGAAAGATAATGGGTAGCATGTGGACTATTACAAGGGAATAGTATGATGGGTATAAGGTAAAGGTAAAGGTTCCCCTCACACATATGTGCTAGTCGTTCCCGACTTTAGGGGTCGGTGCTCATCTCCATTTTAAAGCTGAAGAGCCAGTGCTGTCCGAAGATGTTTCCGTGGTCATGTGGCCAGCATGACTAAACGCCAAAGGCGCACGGAACGCTGTTACCTTCCCACCAGAGGTGGTCCCTATTTTTCTACTTGCATTTTTTACGTGCTTTCGAACTGCTAGGTTGGCAGAAGCTGGGACAAGTAACGGGACTCACCTTGTTACACGGCACTAGGGATTCGAACTGTTGAACTGCCGACCTTTCTAGCGTCTTAGCCACTGAGCCACCGCGTCACTCTCTATAATGGGCATATATGTATGTAATTACATTAATGAATAAGCAATATTAAATTAGCAATGAGTGGCAAGTAGCTGAGGAATGTCTTTCATAGTATGAACTGTCCAGTTAAGATTGGAAGAGCAAGCCCTCCTGAAGATATGCTTGGTGACTTTGCTCTTGACACTTTTGCCTGACACATAGCAAAGGGACTTACTTCTCTTGCATCGCTCTCATGTGATGGAAAGCACTACTGTATGAGTTGAGTTTGGTCCCGCTTCTTTCGCATTTAGAAATCATGTACAGGTAGCATTTGTCGTAAACACCTGAAGCTAGATGTGATTGAGTGCTGGTAGCAGTAGCGTTGATCTACTGATTTTCTAATGCAATATGACAACCAGAATGCTAGAAAATGATGAAGTAAGCATGTATGTTTATCCATAGGTGTATCATACCATTTTCCTTTTTTTTTTTTTTTTTTTTTTTACAAATGAAGTAGGAGGGACATTTCAACATTGTGTTACATTCTGGGAGATTTGCAGCTAGGATCTTGTCTATCATGCCCAGATAGGATCTTGTCTGTTGTGCCCAGATAGACAACAATCAGATGAGCCAGAGAGTAAAACACAGGACTGCCAGAGGGCTGAAGATTGGTACCCAATTAAACAGTGGTCAATGGCATACCAGGGGTGAGGTTGGAAACAGGCTCTCATGGGTGCATTTCCTGAAAAAGCTATCCGGAGGGTTAGCAGTGAGTGTGGAGTTTCATCCTTGCTGCCAATGCACCAATTGGCTGTTTGGCAATTGGTGCCATGTCAAAGGTAGAACAGAGTAGGCTGGTGATGGTGTGATTGGGCCAGCCTGTATCCTGCAGCTACTGCTTGCTCTCTGATCCACACCAAGTGTGCCATTGCCAGTGGTCATAGCAAAGCATGATCAGAAGGCAGCTAATAGTGAAATACTGGATTGGGGGGACAAAATATTTCAAGGCCAGTGCAATACCCTGGGTATAAGTGGGGCGGGGTGGGTTCTACTTACCTTTACTACCGGTTCACAACGGGAGCGCGTGCACGCTCTTTTGCACATGCGCAGATCACCGGTGATGATGTCGTGGCAGGTGGGCGGAGCATCCCACCGGTTTTACTACTGAACCTGGGACAACCTACCACTGAAGTGGGGGCACATTTCTTTTTATTCTCTGGCTCTTACTCGGAGAGTGCCCGGTGGGCCTTCCCCTCTGAGAAGGCTGACCTGCTACCTTATGCATGCAATCGGGGTCTGTGTATAATGTAACCTTTTCCTAAAGCGCTATCGCTAATGCCTTCTTGTTAACCCAAGATTGCTCAGCTTCTGCAGTGGTATGTCTAGTCTTAAAAGCGACCCTTCTTTTTCCAGAAGAACCGACTCCTTCACATAAAATCATCAGCCCACCCACTGGAGTTACTTACCCTCATGATGATGTCTCGGATTATGGCCTCAAGCCGTACCCCTTCGCTCTGTCTAGCCTTTCGGCAGATCACATGGGCAGATATGGACAGCCAGATAGCATAGGGTCAAAATGCTACTTGGACCCTCTCAAGGCTGCAGGTCCCCCTACTTTGAGCCCTAGGATTGAGATAACACCATCTTATGAACTGATTCACTCAGGGGGGGCCTTCAGCAGCAGAGACACAGATCTATTGGTAGAGCATCAGTCCAGCTCAGCTACCGCTAGCCCAAGGTTTACTCTGCCGGTCCCTGGCTTTGAGAGCTACCGAGAACCGCTGTGCCTGAGCCCTCCTAGCAGCGGCTCCTCTGCAAGCTTCATTTCAGAGACAAATTTCTCTCCTTATACTTCACCATGCGTTTCACCAAATAATGGCCCTAGTGATGACCTGTGTCCACAGTTTCAAAACACCCATGCTCATTATTCCCCTAGAACCTCGCCAATAATGTCCCCACAAGCAACTGTCGTGGAGGATACCTGCTTGGGGCCACGTTCACCATCATCACGTCCCAACTCAAGGTCGTCATCACCAGGGGCAAAACGGAGGTACTCTTGCACTGAGCTCTACGGGAGTCAGCATCCACACTCTTCTCCACGGCAGTCGAGGACCCCTTCTCCACAGGCCTCTCCCCACATCTCCCTGAGAGAAGACGGAGCGACAGTTACTTACACCCAGTTGTCCACCTCATCTAGTCTCATGGATGCCATGAACAATCTCACCACTGACCCTTCCTGCGGAGTTCCCACAAAAATATGGAGGACCACTCCGGATCCTTCGCCATTGGTTTCCCACAAAGCCAGTATGCCATGCCATGTACTTCAGCCCATCGAATACATTGGATCCTGTGAGCAGGAGAATCGAAGGAACCCACCGCCAGATTCAATCCTTTTAGTGCCGCCATCTTGGCCGAAGCAGCTGATGCCTGCGATACCAATCTGCAGGTAAGTAGCAAGTCTTGCACATTTATTTATGAGCCACAGTGGCACAGTAGTTAGAGTGCAGTACTGCAGGCTACTTCTGCTGACTGCCAGCTGCCTGCAATTTGGCAGTTCGAATCTCATCAGGCTCAAGGTTGACTCAGCCTTCCATCCTTCGAAGGTAGGTAAAACGAGGGCCCAAATTGTTGGGGGCAATAGGCTGACTCTGTAAACCACTTACAGTGGGCACTGTAAAAGCAGTATATAAATCTAAATTCTATTGCTATTTATGGAGTTATGTAGAATTTGTCTCATAGATACGTGTATATCTGTGAGACAGATTGCGTACAATAGAGGAGGATTTCTTTTAATGAGGGAAGAACTCTCCTGTTCTACTTTTTCTCCTAAGCTTCCCTAGATATTCTTCTGTTGGAGATAACAGCACAAATGCATGTTCCCCTAGTAAATCAAAGTGCATAATATTTGAGGAGAGCAAATCACTGCAGTGTAGAAACCAGCGTAATTTGTTCCTCCTCCTTGACAAGGAGGAAGCTAAACTTTTTCTACTTTTCATTACATTCCAAATATCTGATTCATCAGTATTTGCACACGAAGATTGAATGGCTACTGAAAATGCTCTTTTAAGTTCCTTCAGGACCTTGTGAATAGCCAGCGGGGATTTGAGTCGATCTGTTCATTATCATTGATCCTTCTTGAATTAATTGCCACTGGTTCTTATTTGACTCCTAGTTAGTGATCATTAGTAAATTGTGAGGCAAAGAATCCATCCCACTGATACGAGTTAAGCAAAGGTGTTTTTAATTGTTCTCCATCTCCTGCCAATCAGTGATTGATCCAGCCCTCTTGTATTTTGAAAAAAAACCAAGATTGTTTGAGTCATTATTGTTCAGTCTGTTCTAGTTATCTATATGTTGAAGTAAACTTCTTCTCTTTCCTAACTTAAACCCAAACTTTCTTCTCCCCAGCATTCCTGTTCAGTCTCTTCCACCTCTTGAGTGGCCTCTATCCAGCCATTCAGGCTCCTACGAATTACAGATTGAGGTGCAACCCAAACCCCACCATCGTGCTCATTACGAGACGGAAGGGAGCCGAGGGGCAGTCAAAGCACCAACAGGGGGACATCCTGTGATTCAGGTACATTGTGTTTTATGGGGGGGGGGGTATTTTACAGTGCTGTGGGGTATTTGGATCCCCAAAAGGCAAGGGTCCAGCATGCTTTGATCCAGCCTCAGTACAATTCTTCCTGTCTATCAGCTACTCCTTAAAGAAGCCAGGCCTTTTCCTGGGTTTATAAAGTAGTTATATATCCCTAGTCTAATGAAGAGAAGGACTAGGGATAATACGAAAGCAGTCTTCCAGTGCTTGAGAGGCTGCCATAGAGAAGAAGGGGTCAGCCTATTCTCCAAAGCACCTGGTGGCAAGATAAGAAGTAATGGGTGGAAGATCCTTAAAGACAGATCCAACCTGGAATTAAGGCGAAATGTGAGAACAAATAATCAGAGGGATGGCTTGCCTCCAGAAGTTGTGAGTACTCCCATCAATGGAGGCTTTGAAGAAGAGACTGGACAGCTATTTGATATAGGGCCATGATGGCGAACCTATGGCCCTCTCTGTGGAGATGTGAGCTGTCATCCCAGTTCAGCTCCGCTGTACATGTGCTCATGCCTCCCACCAGCCAGATGGTCTTCGGGTCTCTGCTGCGCATGTGTGGGGGGCGGGGCACATGCGGGGGGGTGTATGCAAGCATGTATGGGGGCAGGGCACATGTGGGGGACCATGCACACATGCGCGGGGGTGGGATGCAAGCGCGGGGCTGGGTTGTTTGTATGGTCTGGTTTCTGGCATGTCATGGCCTGGTGCCAGCCCATGGCCTGGGAGTTGGGGACCCCTGCACTAGACCAAACTGGCTCTCCAAAAATGTTGCCAAGGTTGAACAACACTGCTCTATCAGGTCTGGAAAAACAGAGAACTATTCTTTTGAAAACAGGAGTTGCCAACTTACTCAAGCCAACAGATCTTCTTTTCTGCTGTCCTCTCATGCTAAAGAGATTGAGTTGTATTTTTCCTCCTCTGGAAGCGAAAGAGGAGCAAAAATACAACTACTGGTAAATTGTTCTCTTCTGCCTTCTCATACAGCTTAAAAGCTCAGTTCCAAAAGATGCGATCTTGTACACAGATAAATAAGGCTTTTGTTCTCATGTAAAGGACATTTTGTAGTTGGGACGGAGGACAAAAGGGGGGCATTTCCTAGGGCTAGAGAAAAGAACATACTGTAAATGTATCAGCTGAATCAACTTTCAATTGATAAGGCTAAAGAGATACCACCTAACATCCTAAGTTGGCCCTTAACACTAACATTTGAGCCATTTTGAAATTTGATATAGAAAGTTTTGCAAAAAATAACTTTGGTTCTGGTATAGTTGAGTATGGAAGTAAATTTGGAAGAATTTCCTTTTCTGGGATGGTTTGCACTGTACTGTAAATATTTTAAATATTCTAAAATCATGTGAAGTACCAGATGAATGTATAAAACCTTAGTAAGACCACACCTGGAATACTGTATCCAGTTTTGGTCACCACGTTACAAAAAAGATGTGGAGATTTTGGAAAAAGTGCAGAGAAGAGCAATTAAGATGATTAAAGGCCTGGAGATTAAAACATGTGATGAACGGTTGCAGGAATTGGGTTTGGCTAGTCTAGAGAAAAGAAGAAGTAGGGGGGACATGATAGCAGTGTTCCAATATCTGAGAGGCTGCCACAAAGAGGAGGGGGTCAACCTATTCTCCAAAGCACTGAAGACAAGACAAGAAACAATGGATGGAAACTAATCAAGGAGACAACCAACTTGGAAATCAGGAGAAACTTACTAACCAGTGAGAACAATTAACCAGTGGAACATCTTGCCTTCAGAAGTTGTGAGGACTTCATCACTGGAGGTTTTTAAGAGGAGACTGGACAGCCACTGGTCTGATATGGTATAGGATTTCCTGCCTGAGCAGGGGGTTGGACTAGAAGACCTCCAAGGTCCCTTCCTGCTCTATTCTGATTAAATAATTCTGCTAGAGACATGTGGACTGAAGCACCGTCTTGCCTTTTCTACAGTGGGTACCATAAATCAAGCAGCCAGTTTGATGTTTATTGGCCATACTGCTTCTTTCTTTGGCAATATCTTTGTCATGTGACGCCCAATATAAGATCTCTTCATTGACATGGTTACAATTGCGAGAAAGAGAAGAAGGAGGTCAACTGAGGTTTGCCACAGTTGGCACTTGGTTTAACGAGGTGTTTGATGGCATGTTGTAAACTTTATGCTGTTATAAAGATACAGCGGCCTAGGCTAATTGGGTTCATGAATTCATAAGAGAAAGGTGAATGAGTTGGAGAAGTTTTTGCTGATTTAGACTAAGGTCACTGATACCATGGGGCAGTTTTAAAAACAAGGGTAGAAAGCGTCTTCCCTCCCCACTTATTAAATTTGTATCCGTCTTTTCCACCAAAGTGAGCAGAGGAGGCTGCTATTAATGATCGAACATAATTATAAAAACAAAAGTTGAATTAAACCTTGAAAACAGGCAAATAAAATCCCCATCAACCAAAAAGAAATAAACAGTACACACCCATTAAAACTTGTGTCAATAGACAAGTCGAATTGTGTGTCCAAAAGTGTGTCTGGATAAACATGTCCCTAGAGAGCACTTAGACTTTGCTATCTGAGCAGCTTAGCCAGTATGAACAGTGGGAGGGGATGATGGATATTGTAGTCAGATGATAATTGGATACCACCCTGTTTTAAAATATTCTCTTGCCTTTATTACAGTTGTGTAAATGAAGGCCAACTTGCTGGATAAATCAAGTTTAGTCTAAGTGATAGATGGAATTAAAATTTGAGGTCTCTGCACTAAATAATGTGTTATCGCCAGGATCCAAAGGAGAAACATTAAATCTGTTGATTTTCTTTTTGTAGTGCTGAAGAGGCAAATGTACTTAATAGAGATGAAACTTTAGATTTCCTTTTGAGAAAAACTACTCCAAGGGAATTCTGGTTCTTTTGTTTTCCATTCTGATATTCTGGTATATGTATCTGGTTGATCCATATTAAAGTCTATCATACTGTCATAAAATGGAAGGGATGGAAGAGAACTGGGAGATCATCTAGTCTCACCCTCTATCCAATGCATGAATGCTTTACTGCAAGCAAGATTTTCTTCTTTTTTGATGGAGTATTCTGGTTCTACAGGTAGTCCTCGACTTCACAACAGTTCATTTAGTGACCATTCAAAGTTACAATGGCACCAAAAAAGTGACTGATGACCATTTTTCACACTTATGACCATTGCAGCATCCTCGTGGTCATGTGTTCAAAATCCAGAGGCTTGGCAACTGACTCATATTTATGACCGTTGCAATGTCCCGGGGTCATGTGATCCCCTTTTGCGAACTTTTGTGATCCCTTTTTGCGAGCCAGAGTCACTTAACCGTATTACTAACTTAACAACTGCAGTGATTCACTTAACAACAATGGCAAGAAAGGTCATAAAGTAGGGCAAAATTCACTTTTGGTTAACAACAGAAATCTTAGGCTCAATTGTGGCCATAAGTCAAGGACTACCTGTATAGCATCGTAAGAGCTGAAGCAATACAGATGTTTTAGCTCATCTTGATGCCAGCCCTAATCAAATAAGCTAAAAAATGTCCAGAGAAGAGAAGATGAGTAGATTAGCTCTTTGTGGTCTAGTAAGAAAGTTTTAATTGAAAGGGAGGTGTTATTTTCTACTGCTGGTTTGACAAAGTGTGGTGTGTGGGCCAGTGGGCCTCAATGTGCTCTCTAAGTACCCACTGCTTCGGTTTGAACCACAAACCAAACCAGACTAAAATGGGATGCAGAAAATAGTAGGATCCCAGCTGCTAATTTTCTGTAAATCAGGCCATACTATTAAGCCATACTACAATGCAAACTAATGGCTGAGTTTCTGCAACATTTCAGTTCTAAAGCTGGGTTAACTTGGTTTGTTAACCCAGTTTTAGAGGTTAGATTGTTATAGGAACCCAGCCAACATCTCTACATTTAAAGCCTACGCCATTCCTGCCACCTCCTTAATTCTAAAGAAGAAAAAAGAAGAAGCTGTTGAGAAATGATAAGGAGGTCCTAAGTCTTCCACATATAACACCCCTGACTAATATATCCCCTGCCTTATATACAGTGGTGGGATCCTCCCGGTTTAACATCCGGTTCGGTGGTTAGCGCACTTCCGGGTTTCTTCGGAGGAGTAACACAGCTGATTCGTGTGGCAATTGGCTCTGCCGCGTGAATCAGCTAAGAAAATAAAGGTAGGAAAATAGCGTGGGCGGGCAGCCATCTGATAGTCAGGGAGAACTGGTTCGCTCCCAGCTGATCGTCGGAGCTACCAGTTCGCCCGAACTGGTCCAAACCGGTAGAATCCCACCACTGCTTATATGCGCTTCATATATTCTTGCTTTGTTTAAAATGGGCAAGGCTGAAATAATCTGTTTTAGAAAATATCCTGTCCTTCACCCCTACAAATCTGGTTGTTGTTTTTTTTAAAGGAAGGGGAACATACATTGTGGCTCAACAACATGGATTTATACATAGTGTCTTGCAGTGGTGGGTTTCAAATTTTTTTACTACCGGTTCTGTGGGTGTGGCTTGGTGGGCATGGCATGGCTTGGTGGGCGTGGCTTGGTGGGCGTGGCAGAGAAAGGATACTGCAAAATCTCCAGGGGAAGGTTACTGCAAAATCCCCATTTCCTCCCGATCACCTTGGATGTGGGAGACAGAGAATAGATGGGGGCCGGGCAAGTCAGAATTTTTACTACCGGTTCTCCGAACTAATTAAGATTTCCGCTACCGATTCTCCAGAACCTGCTGAAACTCACCTCTGGTGTCTTGCCTTAAAAGTGTTCTGTACTATGTTCTGTACATTGATTACCCAACCATGAGTCTTTGAAGAAGGCATCTCCTTGGGTCCTCCACAGAGCTTTCTTCTTGGTCTGTAGCTGATGGATGGTAAAACCAGTTGGTACTAACCAAGATCTCATATGGATAGATAATACCGTTCATCCTCAACTTACAACCATTCATTTAATTGACCATTCAAACGACATTGCAAAAAGTG